GCTACTGCTACTGCTACTGCCATTACTGCTGCTCTACTTCTGTTTCTACTGCTGCTGCTACTAGTCGTGCTCCTTCTCCTGCTTTGCTGCTGCTAGTGCTGCTGCAACTGCAACTGCAACTGCTGCTGTTACGGCTGCGGGTGCGGCTACGGCTACGGCCACTCCGACTGATACTCCGACTGCGACTGCTACTGCTACGACTGCTACTGCAACCCTTACTTGCTTCCTACTGCTCTAACGTGCAAGACTTGAAGCAGCAAAGCGTTACAGATGTCAAGTCTCGAGCCTCAGGGCCTGGTAACGCCTGGCTTGGCCGGGCTCAGACGCTTGGGCTTTATCTTAAGACGGCCTGCGATGTTCGAGCCCTCACTTCGCGTGTTTCTGCTTGGTGCTTCTTCCAGTGCTGGGTCTAGAATTTCGGCTGTGCTCAGTATAGCGACTTGGGTAGATGTCGAGCCAGAAACACGAAGTCCCGAATTCCCGAGCTCTCAGCTGAGTCGCTCATGCACGGGCCATCCAATCTTCAGGCCTGCCTGCGGGGACTCCTCCGCCTGGCTTGGGGGTTGCGCCCTGAGCCTGGGTTCGGTTCTACGTTAAGAGCAACCAATAATTAGAATAGGGTTTTGGGGTATATTATACTATAGCTATAATAAGGAACCCCCCAAAACAGTTTAAGTAATAATCATCGTGATACTCACAGAATCTCACGGACGCAACAGCTAGGTTACTGCTTCCTCAACTCGATCAAGTTCTTGCTTCCAGTGCTGGCCTGCCTCATTGCTTTCTTATTGACAAAGCTGGATCGGCAAGCGTAGACATCACATGATGCAGGCGCTCAGGTCGTAACATGGCTGCTGCAGCTAACTTTCGGCAAGGATTGCAGTAAAATCACGCAGCCGATGTTCCCGACGCCCTCCGGCCTCCGGCCCCATGAACTCAAGTGCTGTCTGCGTCACCGCTTCTCGAATCTTACTTGGTGCAACTCTGACATCCGAAGGGCTTGGCATCCCTGGCGGGAGCCCCACCGCCGTTGCCTGGGCTGGCCGGGCTCTCAGGTACCAGGAACTTGAAGAAACGGCTGATGGACAAAATTTTTGCATGACATTATATACCTAAACTATGGGATTTATGGTACTATACTATATTGGGGTCATGCAGAATTTTGTCCATCAACCGAAGGAACGGCGAGCATGCAGCAGTTCCTCAAAGCCCACAGCCCGAGCTCTTGTTGGCCACTGCTGCCTTGGCCCAGGCTGGGTTGGATACGAGCGCGGCTGCGCATGAGCTGACCTCAGTTGAGAAGGAACTTTGCAAAGCGAGCCCACTCAATGGCTGAGAGATAACCGGGGCAGTAGCAATGTAAGACGAGATACATGGGATAGGCCCATAGGCGAATGACCAGAATCGCACGTTTGCGACGCTTAGGCTGCTGCATTGCAGGGAACCGACCTGAACGAGTGCCCGGAGACGTGGCAGGATTTGCGAACTGCGCTCTATTCTAGTGCGTGTGCGTTGAAGGGCTGGTGGCTGGGGCGGGATCACGACCTTGGACGACCTGGGCAAATTGAATGCTCTCGTTCGAACTATGAAGCAGCCTGTTGCAGGTACTACGCGCGGTGGTGGTCGCAGTACGGCACCGTCGCTGCCAAAGGAGGCGGGGCAAACAGTCGCAGTCGGCAGCGATATGCGCCTTGAATCAGCAGCTGTTGCCATGGATGCGGCGCGTGCAGCAACAAGTTAAGGTTAGGTTAGGATCGGTGTTGCACGTCGGGTGACTTCATTGGAAGTGCGCGCAGCAGCGTCGTCTCGAGGTGTGGACGAGACGCAGTCAGGTGCAGCTGTGCAGGCCTTTGCTTGGTATCCATTTCTTGCTCCACACATGGAGGTTTCCGAAAATTGGGGACCCTACTATAGTACCCAAATACTGTAGTAGGATCCTTATTTTGAGGACCCCCAAATAAGGTACACTAATTTTCGGAAACTCCCACATGTCAAGTGGCAGTGGGCGAGTCGAGTAGACAGATGGTGGATGCCAGGAAGCTCCGCCCAAAGCAGCAGCGTTTGACAAGGATGCCTTGAAGAAGCTGGCAGAGCAGGCAGAGAGAAAAAGATGTCCCAGGGAATGTTCAGATTGTGGTCCCTGGGCTATCTCTGTTTTTGCAAAGAATCTCTGCATGGGATTGTGCCCATATACCATATCAGGCCGCGAAGAATGCGGAGCAGGAAGAGAAGGATGCAGCAGACAGAGAAGTGCAGGAGAAGCTGGCGGCCGAGGCCGGGATCCTTCGGGCTAGAGTGCGCAGCACAAGTTCCGCAAGTGAGCTTGTTTTGAGATGCTTCATGTAAGTGTTTTTTTTCAGGATCTGGAAAAGGCTTGAAGCCCAGACTTGCAGTTTCGGCTTGCGCAGATAGCAGGAACGTTGTCATATAGGCAGATGTTCAGATTCGCCCGCAGGCAGCAGCTGTGCAGGCGGCGGCTGCACAAGTCCAGGCCCAGCAAGAGGCGCAAGCAGCACAAGCAGCACAGGCAGCACAAGCTGCCAAGGCAGCGCAAGCTGCAAAGAGCGCGCAGGCAGCACAGCAGGCCGCTGCTGCGCAAGCTGCTCAAGCCGCCCAGGCGCAAGCTCAAGCGCAGGCAGCGCAGGCAGCTCAAGCGGCGCAGGCTGCACAAGCCGCACAGGCTGCGCAAGCCGCGGCCCAGGCGCCGCCTCAGCCCCAGGTCATTCCGGCACCAGCGCAGCCACTCGGCACTGCTCCGCTCCCGTCTGCCGTTGGCCCGGGCGCACCACCGCCACCACCACCCCCGCCTGGACAAGGTCCCGCCCCACCAGCCTACGATCTTGAAGCCTTGAAGCGGCTTGCTGCTGCACAAGGGGCCGTCGCGCCCGTAGCGCCCATGGCGCAGGCAGCGCCGATTCCGGTGGTCGAAGTTCGACCACCACCCGCACAGCCGAAGAAGTCAATGGGCTTCTCCGGTTTCACCTTGCAGGCAGCTTCACCTGCGCCAGCACAACGAGACAACGACTCCGTCCAGAAAATGCTCGCCCGGCTGCAGGGAAATGTGCAGGGAGCGAAGCAAGCCCTGTCAGCCACAGGCCCTGCACCCAATTTTGGTGGCCAACTTCCGTTCGTTCAGGCGACACCGTTATCAAAGTTGGGGCCGCATTCGGGGCTTGGAGACGATGACTGGGAGCCTTTGCAGGAGACCGTGAGGACTGCAAGCGCTCGCAGTGAGGTTGAGGAAGCCGCCAAGGCCTTCCTCAAAAACTTCGCACAGATGAGTGCAGAGCAGCTTGCAGAGCTTCTCCACCTCATGGAAGCGAAGGCTCACTCCTACCCTCGGGACTTCTACACCGAGTTGGGCAGCATGCTTGGGCACAAGCTGAAGTCAGCAACAAGTCCGCAGATCGCCCACATCATGAGCGCGTTTTTGTATTGGCAACCAGAGGGCAGGCAGCGGTTCATCGATTCAAGCCGGGACTTTCTGGCTGTGGCAACTGCTGAGGTTCCGACTCGGCTTATGGAGCTTGCGCCTCACGAGTTGAACACCTGCTTAGCTGGGCTGGTGTCCTTGGGCTGCTCGGACCACAAGTTCTTCGTCTCTGTTGGCAAGTCGGCACAGGCTCGGCACAAGACCTTCGGCCCGAAGGAGCTCACCTCGCTCTTGACCATCCTCTCCGAGGTTCGCCTGGTGCACTCCGAGCTCTTCGCCTCGGCGGCCTCGGCCGTGGCCCCCCGGGTGCGCGAGCTCCGGCCCGTGGAGGTGCTGCGCTGCGCCCGCTCCCTGGCGCGCTGCGGGGTCAAGAGCGAGGCCTTCTGCCAGGCCGTGGGCGACGACGTGGTGGGGCGCTGGTCAAAGAGCAATTCGGGCTTCCGATGCGAGGATTTGGTGGATTTGTGCTGGTGCTTCTGCGTTTTGGAGCACTACCACCCCGAGCTGATGCAGCTGACAGTCCAAGTGCTGCAGGACACTGCCAAGGTCACAGCAGACGCACTCTGCCAGTTTTACGAAATCCACCTCTCTTTAGAGCCACTCGGCATCATGCGAAGAGGACTTTGGTTTGGAGCTCCTGTGTTCGTTGGCTATCGTAAGTAGAATTTGCCAGCCCAAGGACAGAGCACAAAGAGCGCTATGCCTCGTTCCGAATAGACGACAAGGCGGCGGGAAAGCTTCTGGAACACTATAAGGACCGCAGTCTGAGACTGCCGACATCCTAATTGCCTCCCTATTATTGGGTTCCCGCACTCCGCAGGAGAATCGCCGAGATTGTCGGCGGTGCTCTGAGAAAATCCGATCAGACATCTCCGCAGCAGTGAAGGGCCTTCTAGAGGGCCATGTGCGAGGCTTAGCAAGTGACGGCAAGCAGTGCCGGGAATGTGGACTAGCATCTGCTGGACTCCAGCGAGTTGGCACTCAGGTGCAGTCCAACCACCGCACCAGTTTGGGTCTTCTGTCGGTCAGTGCCTCAGAGGCCACTGTGCAAAGCTTCATTTCTCCAATAGGAAACTTGCAAGGACGATGCCCGGAAAGCTCATGTGCACCGTGCTTAGGACGTGGCAGCCTTGAGGAAGCGATCCTCTACGGACGGCAGAGTTCTCAGATTTGGCGACTGTAAGCTCAACAGGACTACGGGAACTGCAGCGGAGCAACAGAAAGCTGAGAACATGACATTCAACAAGTTGCAGGGTGGTAGCAGCTTGCTGTCCTACACTGCCAGCAGTGTGCGGCATGCGATTGGCATTTGTTTGCACAGACCTCTGCTGTCCTGTTTTTCGTCCCAGTCGACCAGCAGCCCCACACATCATGTCAGATTTGCGGCCACCTCAGGGTATGTCCACATTGACATCGACGGTGCTTTGTCGCTGATTCGTCCTATCGACCAGGACCTTCCTTCAAGTTTGGTGCGCATCGCTGCTTGTGCAATGTAGGGGCCTTAACAATTACCTATACTGTTTTATTTTGGGATTCCTTATTCTAATTATAGTAATCTACCCCAAAACCCTATTCTAATCATTACGGCCCCTACATTAGGTGTCCAGCCAGCAGCGATCCCTTCAGGATGAAACCGCGGGCCCGATTGTCGATGGCGCTGTGGCGCTCAGGCACCTGCTAGGTTTTGCTCTGTCTGCCCACCTCTGCAAGATCGAGACGATTTCTCTTAGATGCGATGGTTGGCATGTTGACATCGGAACATTCTTGTACCGATCTTCTGCCTTTGCCAGCAGCATGCACAACATGCAGGCTCAAGAAGCGTTGATGTACGCCGCTACCCTCACGGTTCTCCAGAAGAATGCTGGAGATTTCCGCTATGAAACGCCATGAGAAAGGCAGTAGGACATGTACACTTACGCAGCTCTTGGAAGTAGACCCTCTGCAGAGCTCCATGCTTTCCAGCAGCAGCGAGCTGCCTCTAGCACAGCACATGGGTTGTTTTCAAAATTAGGGTCTCTTTAAGGGTCCTTTTTATAAGGGTGCCGTACTATATTGGGACCTAAAAAGGGACCCAAATTTAGAGTACTACCCACATGGCCTTTTTGAGCCTCCGTGTGGGGCTCCTGGGGCTAAGTCAGGGCGGCGCTGCCCTGCAATCCTCCTACCAGAACCTCTCCGAGGCGCTTGCTGAGTGCCGTGCGGGTGCCTTGGGCAGTTCCCGACCTCCCAAAATCCAACATAAACCGTATAATTCTGAAGTGCATATGCAGTGGTAGACTTTGGATTCTGTATCATGGCATCGTAAGTATTGCGTTTACTGTGGTATTAGAGCCTGTCCTTCTAAAGCCACCGACACCCTCCTGAACATTCCCTAAACCCTACACCCTATACCCCAAACCCTAAACCCTAAACCCCAAACCCCAAACCCTAAACCCTAAAGCCCAAACCCAAACCCTAAACCCTAAACCCAAAACCCCAAGCCCTCAACCCCAAACCCCAAGCCCAAAACCCTAAAGCCCAAACCCAAAACCCCAAGCCCTAAACCCTAGACCCCAAACCCCAAAACCCCAAGCCCTAAACCCAAAACCCCAAGCCCTAAACCCTATACCCCAAACCCCTAAAGCCCAAAACTCTAAACCCTAAACCGTTCGACTTTGCTCCGAGGTGGTCAGGGCCTGGCCTGCCGCCTGGGCTGCAACGAAGAGGAGCCCGGGCTGGCGGAAAGCTTCGAGCCGCCGCTTCGCCCCGGAAGAGAAGGTTCTGCAGGGTGTCAACGTTTTTTTTTTTGTTTTTTTGCCATGGCTGTTACATAGGTATGTATATATATATATATA